GACGGACCACGGACGCAGGGTGATTTGAAAAATATGGTTCAAAACATTGCTTACACTAAATACAAATACTTCAACCTTATAATAAACAACAGCTTATTGATGGTGGTGGTCCAACACTACCCAAAAAAACTTGCACAAAAACTTTAACCTCAAGCGTACCCAAAAACATTAATCAAGTCCAATAAAGCTGTTTTGGCCCCTAAAATATAAAGTCCAGAACATTGCTACAATCAAAATCGTTACGGCGTCAACAAGCTGTGTTCAAAAAGCACACGCCCACAGACCTAACAGTTGTTTCAGTGTCACTTTCACTGTATAGTTCACGAAAATGTGGATAGGTACACATTTAACGAAACATTCAAGTCATGACACATGGTTTGAAACATGAACATGCAATGTAAATTTTATATTTCCATATACGTGTATGCGTAACCTTAAGTTGACGATGCGCTCAAACAACAAGTCTCCGAAAAAGATGCAATGTTGTACACTGCTTCTGAAATCAAGAACGACACCGACCTCAAACGTTCCATCGACCAATCGACCAGCCAGATGCAGTGAGTGACACGCTGAAACAACCGTTCGTTTTGTGGGCGTGATCGTTTTGAACACGGCTTGTTGACGCCATAACGATTTTGATTGTAACACTCCATATAAACCTTAAAAAAGACAACTGTGTATTGAGTATGATGATCCAACACTGTCTTGAAAACTTGCCCAAAAACCTTAACCTCAAATTTACTGAAGTTCAATCAACTGTTTTTGGCCACTAAAATATGAAAATATGGTCCAGCACAATGCTTACACTCGATAATGACTTATACTCATAAATGACAACTGTGTATTGAGCGTGATGATCCGACACTGTCTGGAAAAAAACTTGCCCTAAAACTTTAACCTCGGAAGATGGGACGCCGACTCTAGGGTTACTACATTAGCCCCCCTATTCTTCATATAGGCGAGCTAAAAAGGAAAAACCATATCACTGACTTTGTTCTCCATTGTCTTCAATGTGTAGTCAATGGGACTACCATATCCATCGCAAATGCGACAGGTAAGCATGATTTTTTTCTGTCTGTTATATATTTGTGGCTACTCTAAAACACACTCTAAGCAATGGAGGTGATACAATTTGTCATTTCACAAAAATTTAGACAACTGAATTAACATATTTCTGTAGACAATTGTACCTCATTGTAAGATATTTTAATTAAATGACCGAAATATAACTCAATAACTCTTAACTCAATGACAATGAATGTACATTATACATACACATAAAGCTACTGACAGTACTTACATATTATACTGTATACCTGCACTCTACTGTATTTTGACTGACAGCCTCAGACAGGTGATCATGGAACTGTGAATGCAGGATGCATTTCACGATTGGCAAGATTAGTCAGATACACGTCTCATATTATTAAAGTATGTTACGGTAGACAAGATACAAGTGTTCTGTTTTCACAAATCACATTATAATCCATCGAAAGCTAAAGTCTTGTTTTGGTTGATGGGATAAAGAAGCAATGTTACATACCCAAGATTGTTGTCAGCAAGAGAGAACTCTTCTATGCCCAGAGGTAGAGAGCTGTTACATTTACCACCCCTATCGCTTTGGCAGTAGAATTCGATAAATAATTCGTTGTCATTAATTGGAGAATATCAAAACTTATATCTGCTAACATATTATCTCATACAGTTACATAAAACGTATAGAAATATAATCCTCTACGACGAGTAATATTTGTGGATATCAATTAAAAGTAAATTGTGTTGCTGTTCTGATTACCTCCACTAAAACTGACTAAACAGGAAGCTGCGGCCATTTTGAGAATTTATCATTTCCTGCTTTTCTTCGGAATCACACAAGAGGTAAAATACGTAGAATAACTCATTTCATAGTAATTTAAATAATTTCGACTCGTGATTTCGTATATTGAAATAGACCGAACCATATGTCGATTGAAATGGTCAAATATTTTGAAAAATCTGAGTAATTTTACATTACTTGTGACACTTCTCACAAAATTATATCATGATGTCATGATCTTTTCTAACGTTCAATGTTAATTGACGGACATATAAGAAGGGTAGTATCCTAAAACATTGCTTGCATTTAAAACCCACGTTATCATCCTAAGTGGATATGGCAAGTATTAAGCAGACTGAGGCGTGATATCCATGTCATGCTTGCTTATTTTGATAGATTGTAAATATATTTTTTATGAAGGATGATTACACAATAGCTATTGTGTTTAAGATGTGTTAAAGCATAACGCGTGTACTCAGTACCAGTTATTTTCGTGTATAAGGGAAGGACGCCAAAAATGTTTTCATCCAATGTACTTTTTAATAGAGTAGTTAACCGAATCTCCACTGCTAAAACCTCAAATCTGTTATCATAGTTACCTGTCTAATCAGTTGAACAAATATAATTTGATTTTTTTTCTCCATCAGTTACATCTCTCTGTCATGACTTCTGACCTTTCCCATGAAATATTTCTTCTCCTTCGTTCCAATAATCTGCATACAACCTCTTGTGTAGATGTGGCACATACTTAGGGGAAACATGCCTCTTTTAAAACCATTAAAAACTTTGTAGGCAGTACAATGTTTAAATACAGTTAAAACATTTTGTTAGATAACATCAACTCTTTTACTTTTGATGCCTTTGCTTATTTTACTCAGAGACGTATAATACATCTATTATACGTCTCTGTTTTACTTTCCTAGATAATGAATTAGCTAGACTAGTAATTCAGATTGATATATATATATATCGGTTTTTGTGAATGGACAAAAATATTTAAATCGGTTATATTAACAGGTCATAAAAAAGTACAAGGCAAATTGATAAATAACTATCAAGCAAGTATAAATATATATATATTGTTTGTTTTTTAATAAAAAAAGATGTGGCTGCTATTTGTAAAAAGCTAACAGTAATATAGCCGGTTGTACATAATTAGAAGCTTACAAAGAGTTGGTTAAGTCCATGTGACAGTGTGAAACTTTTATAGTTTTATCCTAATATGTATAGATAGATATTTAGATTTTTTTTAGATGATTTAAATTTGAATGAAAGTAAATTTTATACTATTATACTGAGCATTAGAAGACCTTTTTACATATTGTACATTGTATGTAAGAGTGATGCAGATATTTGGAGCTGTCATGGTACACTTAACTAGTGATTCAATATATATATATATATATTATATAATAAAGCAATACTTGTGCCACAATACTTTTAGTTTTCATTCAATCAATTTTGCTATACCATAATTCAAAATGCAATGAAATGACCCAAAATAACAATTGCAGAAGTTGAGGTCTTGATCTTAAACATTGATTCTTCTTCCTCTACAGCTTTTGTGCTTCCATGGGTATGTCTCTTTTGACGTATTTCTGCTATTTAACACTTTGAACACTGGCCCTGAATGACTCATTAATGATAATATTGGTCTATAAGACTATGGTGTTAATATGATCTGTAGTTAGTTCATTTCATCCACTACTATTATGACATCACTGGTATGTACATATATAGTGATCAAATATTCATTATCACTTCAATTAGTTGGAACAGTCATGCTCAGTACTGGATGAAACTATAGTGTATTGTATTTTGTTCAAGGAAATTGATTATTATGTCTACTCAGATATTCCTGGTGAAGTTGACTATACTTTTATAGCAATCTCTTATTCCTTACAAAATGCAAGTGTCCAGTTAATTATAAAAATCTTGTTTAATGGATATTTCCCATTGCACTCTCAAGGTAGTTTATACAGTATTTGTAAAAATGATAATGTTGATGTACATGATGTATTGAGACTGCACACATGGATATGCTGTATACAGAAAACACTACTCCCACACATGTTCATGTGTCATTCAATGTGACTGTGTATACGTATTATATATATACATGTATATATGAATATGCTGTGCAATTTTATTTCCTACTTTCAAGTAAATGATATCATCACAATTTCTCCTCTTAACTAAGTGATCATGATTCATTCTTGATTACTTTTAATGTGCATAAAAGGGAGATTTTGATATGATATGAATATTTTGTGTATATTTTTACCACTTTCCATGGGTATTTATAAATTACCTATTAATAACGACTGAGTTTTGTAGAATTTTATCTTTATGCAAGTCCTGTCCATCCTTTTCAAATTTAAAATGCATGTGGGTCCACAAAAAGTTAACGAGTCCCACAGGAAAAGCATGAGTCAACGTCCAGGACTTGAATAAATCCCAAAAATTACATGGTAATAATACAGTTACAGTAGATATATATGCTAACTAGATTCAATTTTTTTTCAAGGAGGAAAGCATCTTCACAGGATTTTTCCTATTGCTATAGAATATTACAACAAATTTGATACAACACTTTGATACATTTTAAAGGTAAGTATTGATTTTGCAAATCATGTTATAGTGATCTTAAAACACAGACAGAAGTAATTCATCATTTGATGTTGAAATAATATTAATGTAGCAAGTTTTGATGATGTTGACTAAATAACTCCTAATTGTAAGAAATAAGAGAAATATTCTGTAGTGTAAATGACCAGTTATTCAAAACAAATTTATGAAAAAAGTCTAATTGCAAACAATATCTTTATAGTGGCAATGTAGCGGTGTAGTCCAATGTCCATGGATAGCAGGTTTTATATCTGGGCTTGTAAAAAAAAGAATTTGGCAAAATCGGATTATAATTGTATACTTTTGATACCTGGTATATTTTTTTTAAAGGAAGGGAATAAAACAAACAATATGGTAAAATTAAATTTGTTGAGAAAACTTGCAGTCCTCACATGATAGCTTCATGTAGTAATGTTAATCTCTCTGTTCTGTTTTGAATTTGAGTAATTATGATCATTTTGCATGATCACTGTCATTGATAATTTATTCCTTCATATGACATAACCCTTTTAAGCACACATATATATCCAATATTAATTACTACACATGTATGCTCTCATTTGCAGATCTGTATGCTGTGAGGTTTATAGACAATTGAAGTAAGTTTAGTGCTGACACCAGGGATGCGGCTTTAGTTTAGAGACTGCTGTAACTGGCTATCAGAAACGAAGCATAAGGACAATCATCAGATTTGATTGGTTTCCATAAAATAGAATCATCATGTCTAACATGCCACCTATTCGCCGGACAATTAAAAATGTTGTCCGGAATTATTCAGAAGCTCAAGTGAAGGTGCGTGAAGCGACTTCAAATGATCCATGGGGTCCATCAAGTACACTTATGGGAGAGATTGCGGATTTAACGTACAATGTTGTAGCGTTTACAGAGGTCATGCAGATGGTCTGGAAGAGACTGAATGATCATGGTAAAAATTGGCGCCATGTGTATAAGGCATTAGTATTATTGGATTATATTATCAAAACTGGGAGTGAAAAAGTTGCCCAGCAGTGTAAGGAAAATATATATGCCATTCAGACACTGAAAGATTTCCAGCACAAGGAGGATAATAGGGATCAAGGCATGAACGTACGGGAAAAGGCAAAACAGCTTGTGGCTCTGTTGAAGGATGATGAGAGGTTAAGAAATGAACGAGCAAAGGCACTCAAAGCAAAAGAAAGATTTGCACAGAGTGCCATGGGAATAGGAAGCGATAATAAGGTATAAAACTAGCACTTTTAATTAGGTGTTTATTTTTTTTAATTTCCCTTGAAAGGTGTATCCACACATTTCCCTGTGTGAGATATCTTTGTCTTAGCCTAGGGTTGAGACATCAGGATTGCCCATCCCCAATCAAATCAATTGTATGATGTCACATAAACAAATACATTGATGCAAAGTCAAGAATGCCTAGAGTCTGTTACATCAATGTATATGACAGGGTCATTAGGGTAAGAAAAAATAATCATTCACATTTGAGGTGAGATGGGCAATCTAGATCTAGATCTTAAGTCTTTGGGGAAAGATATTTTTAAGCTGACAAATACTCAGCTATAAACATGTGATTGGTAGATTAAAAATTCCCTGAGAATTAGATTTCCCTATCCCACCCATGCATGGCCAAGGAGGAGAATCTATTATTCTCCAATATGTTTCAAAATCACATAGCAAGGACATTGCAGATAAAACAGTATTCTTAAGTTAGGGTCAATACATACAAATTGTATCAGATACTTTCCTAAATGATATGATGAAACATCAATATATAAAAATATATACTTAATTGAGTAAAATAGCGATATACAGCAAGTGGCAGTATTGATAAATAAGCATTATAAAACATATTTTGGATAAAATCAAGAATTAATATAAATGCATTGATGAAAGAAATACCATTTTTGAATTGGCGTATATTGTAGATAAAGTATGGTGCTGGAAGCCCAAGTCTAGAGGCCAGCTCTGCTGGATATACTGATCCGTATGGAGGTGCCACAGGAGACGCTCTCAGTGGTGGAGGCAGTGAAACTTGTATGTCTAGACCCCCGTACAGCTAGAGTACCACATGTGTACAGTAACTAATTAATTGGAATGATGCTACTGCTAGTACCTGTACATGCATTTTTTTATAACTATTTGATCCTTTATAGAGATTATTAATTTATGGTAGATTAACATGTTGTCAATCAGGTAGATATAGATTGCAATCCATATAAATTATTTCCATATGTAATATTATATAATAGAATCACTTAAAACTTTTTATCTATCATTTATTTTAACGACTTGGTGAAGTCAAGCGGGTGAATATAACAAAATCCGTTTGATAATATAGAATTTGATATTTAGTTAGTTTATAAATTCAAAAATATATTTTTTTTAAACCTAAAAATTGGTATACTCTCTGGTTTGAAACAATGATTACTAAATTATCTGTCAATAACAGCATCGCCTACAGAAAATACTGGANGATGACATCAAACTTCAGATGGCCCTGGATGAGAGTAGAAAACATGCTGTTGAAGAAGTAGGTTACATAAAAATGGATGTTTTTGTTCTTTAATAAAGATTCTGATATAATTTTTCTCAGTTAATATTGATATAAAAAACCCAAGTAAGCTAGCTATATGCAGTCCACGTTTTAGATACTCATGTCACATGATAGGGGAGCATGCATACTTCTTTAATAGGACGAGTCGAGCCTAGGGCACAATCCCCACACGCTCATGTGCCCAAGTCCCGCATCACCTATAACTACCGTCAACCCAGGTTTGATGGGTATAGTTTTGTCGTTGGGTTGATATATATATATATATAAACATCTATGACCTGACAGCTGTCGCAACAATAGTCCAAAACAATGGTGACTATTCCTGGCTGCATATCTGACAAAAAGATACTTGAAAGTTATAATCACTTTAGTTAACCATGAGAAATGTCAACAATTTCCATAGAAAATTGCCTATTTATAACTTCTATGCTGTTTTCATGCTCCTGGTTACCTTCAGACCAGAAGTATGCATGTCCCCTTTAGTGTACACCAAGTGGTGCCAAACAAAAGGGCTATTTTCTGGAAACTTTAAACTCAGAAGCAATATGCAACAATGTCTTAGTTTGTCACACTGCCAAAACTTGTTTTAAAGCTGAAATCTGATTATTCTGCTCCCCATACAAATACCTTCTCTGCACCCTTAGAATATGTCATGACAAAATTTATGTCTCTTTATACACCACCTTGCAGATGATAGACTTGTCCGATGTCTGTTATGGAGATGAAAGGATTTGGATGGCAATTGCATTGTAACAGTAAAATTGACGGGCTTTTAAATTTGAGTGTACCTCCTATGTAATCTTCAAAGAAACGGTATCAGCAAACTGGGAGCCTTTATTTTTGTCAGGTTATATTCCAAGGGTGTAGGAAAGATTTGTACATGGAGAGAAGAAACCTTGGATTTCAAAGATTGAGGTCACTAATGTACAAACTTTCAAGCAGTGGGTTGAAATAAACTGTTTTTCTTGAACAAAATGGTAAAGCTGGGCCATCACAATGTATAAAATTTAAATATTTTATCTTTCAACTGCTACAGACCAGGGATGTACAAGTTTTTGAATTTTGAAATCTAACTTGAGGCTAGCTAGCACTCTTGAATATAAATTAAGTTGTACACCCCTGCAGACTATAAACATTTTGCTAACAGTATCTGACTCTTTGATTCCAAGCTTTAAACATCTTGGCTGTGGTTGAATTGGCATCCTTGGGTGCAAGTTTTGATTATCATGTCTTTATGTATGCATCCTGAATACTGTGTTGGTGTTATTTTGCACACTAAGGTGGTATAAAAAAATAGTTATTGATGCAAACACACTGAAATTATATTTCTTATCAAAAGTCGCACCCAAATACACTGATTAATAGGGCAGTTTACAGTATGATCAAATTCAGTGTATTTGACATATATTTCGAAAGGAAAATCAAACTTAAACGAGCTATTTAATGTTTGATACAGTAAATTTTATTCCCAGGATTATGGATCCTATATTCTGCAAGAGTTGGTAGTGTCCTTTTATAATTAAGTCTGCTACTCTCATTGATTGGTTTTTATTAACCTTCAAACATTTTACATGGTACTAAATGTACCAACAGAGTTGTGTTATTTACTTTCACTCAAATGGTGGAGGAAATGGCTTCTTAAACTTTTGCATGTTTAGTGATTAAGTTCAGTACATTTAAGATTTCTGAAATCATTACAATGTACTTTTTCCAGATAATTTCCAACCTCTCAATTTCTGTTGTTAACTTTTTTTGCACTTGTACACATTTCTTAAAACACATTTACAGTATGTTTCTTTTATTATTTATCAATTGATATTTGTGGAGTTTGCTTTTTTTCTTGTTGGGGTTTTCTTTTGCTTTTTTACATGTTCCTTTAGGAAAGGAAGAAGGACACAAGTAAAAAGGTTAATTTAAAATTTCAGTTCCACTTCTCTGTATATTATTGAAGCAAACCTATCCATCATTGCACCATCATTTCCATCCATGGTTTGGTACATTTTTTAGTAACTCTCCCTTGTATATATATGTTTTATTATGTTTCTGCTGGAATGCCTTATAAGCTGTTGTGTATATATGCCAGCCGTATGCTTGGTACAGAAAACAATATTTAGCTGACATTTCATTTAGGGTTTCATTTTCCCTAACTCTTTTTGAGAAATCATAGTTTTGTACATATTGCATTGTTTCGTCACTCTAAGTCATGAATGTCTTTTGAATTAATTAAAACATTTACTGATATCATACTTCATCATGTAATGTTGTAAAATAATTTCAGAAATTTCAAGACATGTTATATAGTGTTAAAAAGGTCATGTTATATAGCTCATCGCTCTAGTTTTTTGTGTCGCCTATTACGGATGTCGGAAAGACACATAGGCGTTGCTTTTCGACGGCGGCGTCAACAATGTTAAGGTTTTGCGTTTAGCTCTGTTTCTGACAAAGTTACACCAACAAAACTTCGATCAAAGATGAAGCATGGGTAGTGGAGCCTACTGCACTAAAAACATTTCACTGATTTCTGCATTTTTTTGGTGAAAACCTCAAATTTCTGGACTTAAAAAAAAACTAAACGTTAAGGTTTTGCGTTTAGCTCTTACATATTAGACTGTTTCTGACAAAGTATAAATGCTAGAGCGACCAAACTTGGGTCATAGGTGTATCATGGGATGTATTGCTGAATGAATTACACTCTTTACTAGCATTTCAACGATTTCTGTATTTTTGGGCTAAAAACCTTAAACTTTCTGAACTTAGAAAAAAACTCAACATTAAGGTTTTGCGTTTAGCTCTTGCATATTAGGCTCTTTCTGACGAAGTATAAGAGCTACACCAACCAAACCTCAATCATACATGTATCATGGGTAGTAGAGCCTACTACTCTAAAAACATTTCATGGATTTCTGCACTTTTTCGGATAAAAACCTGAAATTTCTGGACTTTAAAAAAAATCAATGTTATGATTTTGCGTTAAGGTCCGTTTCCTTATGTACTATGTCAAATGCTTATTATATTGACAAAGCGGGACAGGCGACACATATAATTACGTGTAATTCTTGTTAATAAAATACTGTATGGATTTATTTAATTTGTAAGCATTTTACTGTTACATTATTATAATTATTATTATTATTTAATTTGCATTCTGATAAATGAATGTTATTTCAAATCAGATAACGCTTCCAAACCCTTCCAAGACAATCCATGCTGTACTCCAACTGCATGCTTTAGCACTGCCTTTGATTGTCTCCCTTCCCTTGTGAAACCTACAGTACTATTGTGTGTGTATGTTTTGTGGTCTAGATATCCTTGAGGGATATATATCTCACACATACTCATTTTGTCCTATCTATTAAGTTGTCAAATTAATGTAGTTCAATAATTATTTTAAGATATCAACGTGCAGTTTGGCTGCTGACCATAGCATGTATGCTGCATTCACTATATACAAAGCAGTATAATCTTGGTTCTTAGACTCATACCTAATTAACAACGGCTGATAACACATAGTGTTGCATCTGTTTGTGTTTTCCCTGCAATATTGCAAAATTCAATCCTAAATTTATTGTTATGAATTTAATAAGTGTTGCTGAAGTTACATAAAAGATATATGTAAATGATTTTTTTTTAAATGGACATTGTTGATGGTTGTTTTAGATGCAAAAAATCACTTGAAATTTAGACTATATTTAAGATTAATTTTCCAAACAAATACATACATTGTGAAAATGATTATCCTCAGGTTTGGAAATGTACAAAATAAAAAGATATAATTATTGCAATGTACAATTTCAGTGAATAATGTGCTTCATGTTTTTTTTGTGTCAGGTTTTTTTTGTAATTGTCATGTATTGTACAATAACTGCATGCATTCAAGTTTTTATACAAACTCTGTTTGAATTTTTTCATCATCATGATGTCAAACAAATTACCTAATTTCATTTCAAAAACAAATTTGATAGTTTTCGAACTAGCTCATTTTATTTCCCAAAATGAATGATTTTTTGTTGAAAACTTTTTACTGCCAAAAAAGAAGCATTCATGATAAAATTATCTTTTTACTTCGTTTTTTTAAATTTGATAATGCCTATTCTTTTTGTCACATTGAAAGTGTAATATCTTAAAATATTTTAACATAAACATTTCTTTTAATCTAACCGGAACTTCTTTGTTTTGTTTGCAGCCTGAATTACCTGGTAAGAAGGGAAAAGCCCAGCCATCAGATCCCTGGGGAGTCCCAGCCCAGCCAGCTCCAACTGACCCCTGGGGAAGTCCACTGCCTGGACCACCAGGCCAGGCTCCTAAGGCACAGCCCCCACCCCCTTCAGCTGTGGAAGACCCCTGGGGATCACCGGCAAAAGTTCAAGCTCCTGCCAGTAACCCTGATCCTTGGGGAGCCCCAGTGAATGTCAGTCCTGTGCCGCCCCCATACCCCACAAGTAATTCTTCTTTTACACATCATACAGTAGCGGTTGTGATACGTATATTAAAGTTTATAGAATCAATCTATGTTAATTGTTTATAATTAGGGTGGTGAAATAAAATTTGAATAAATTCTAAAAAGATTGGCCCTAGAATGTTTATATTGAATTCTTCAAGACCAATCAGTATTATACAATAGTTGTCACTGCCTCTTGAATTGGGGATAAAACAAGCTTGATATATTGACTGAATCATGTTGTATTTGTAATGACATATAGGTCATGTCTTTCAAACTTTTCATAATAAATTTCTTTTAAACTTACGATTTCAATATTTTCATATTTCTTTAATTAGTGATATTAAATTCTTTAACATAAACTTTAAATACTTCTTTTTCCTGTTAATCAAGTTTCAAACAGCTGAGCCAGAGTTTAGAATTAAAACTTTCTATGTTTTCTGAACTTAATAGCAGCTTCAAGTACAGATGCTTGGGTAACGTCTAGTGGCACGTCCAATCAAAGTTCTCCCTGGGGATCACCAGCCCCTCCACAGCAAGTGATGGCCGACACACCATTCGATTCCAACTTCACAGCGTCTGGAGGTGCCCAAGTCACTAATGGATCAGGTGTTGATGATGGATTTGATCTTATCGGCAACAGAAGTGCAGGAAGCTCTCCTGCTAAAAATAATAAAGAGTTAGAGGCATTTGATCCTTTAGGAGGTAATGATATAATAACTGCTTGACCTAATTTACACCAACTTGTTCATAGGTATCTAATCCTTTAGGAGGTAATGATATAATAACTTCTTGACCTAATTTACACCAACTTGTTCATAGGCATTTAATCCTTTTGGAGGTGATGATTTAATAACTGCTTGACCTAATTTACACCAACATGTTCATGGGTATTTAATCCTTTAGGAGGTAATGATATAATAACTGCTTGACCTAATTTACACCAACTTGTTCATAGGAATTTAATCCTTTAGGAGGTAATGATATAATAACTGCTTGACCTAATTTACATCAACTTGTTCATAGGCATTTAATCCTTTAGGGGGTGATGATATAATAACTGCTTGACCTTCCTAAAAGGAGGTAATAACATAATAACTGCTTGAACTAATATACACCAACCTGATCATTGGCATTTGATCCTTTAGGAGGTAATGATATAATAATATGATAAATGCTTGACCTAATTAACACCAATTTCATCATGATAAAACATTTTTACCTTCTTTTTCAAATGTTCAGCTGGACTTTTTACTGATCAATACCATAATGCTAGTAGTCACAATGGGATAAACCACAAAATTTATATTGCAGTAGAATTTTCTCTTTTTTGTTTTTCATATCTTCACAGCTGTAGATTATATAGTTACTTAAAATTTAAGAGTTAAGCCTTTTTAATTAAGCAACCCTCAAAACAAACCATTATAAAAAGGGTTTGTAATCATGTTGGAAATGGGTTTCTGTCATTAAATTGGGAACTTCATTTCTGAATATGATATTTGTGAACTGTACTTGACAGATTGGGAACAATAAGGTTGAAATTGGGAAAACAAAGGGCTAATTACAGGTATAATTTCCACCTGTGACACATAGTGTCTTGTAAAAGGACTATTTAAAACATCTGAAAAATACGTAAATTTATCAAGTTTGTTTACATTCATAACTTTGACTTACATTAAAATGTACATTTACACAGTTTCCAAATTCTACCTTCCATCGTGCAGCGTATGTACATATATATTAATGTTGTATGCTTTAAATACACACTAGACATGATCAATGCATGCCTGGTAAGGGAGGTAAGCCTTTTTGGCCTTAAATATTTAGAATAGTGTTCCTGTGTCTGATCATTCATTTTACTGATTTTGTTCAGAACCAAAGAAGGAGGACACATGGAACATGAGTGGCATGAGTGATGGACTGACCACGGCCCAGCAACAACAACAGAAACATAGAAAGACTCCACAGGAGTTCCTGGGCGACAACGCCAGCCTGGTCAACCTCGACCAGCTTGTAACCACGGAAAACACTCAAGGTAATCATTGTCCACTCTTAACATTAAAGGAAAGTTCATTTCCTCAGTATTTCTGTACCTTAGCTGGAATTGAAAAAGGTTCCTTCGTACTTATACAATATAAAATAAAGTTGTTTTTTGTGTTGGACTAAATACTTTAGTTAGGCAATAATCAATATTGTAGTTACATATACCTCAATGCTGTATTCAAACATCAATATGATTATAGTTGCTTCAGTACTGAACTTGATACATGAGTTAGGCAGTTATCAATTTTGTAGTTACATATACCTCAGTGCTGTATTCAAACATCAATATGATTATAGTTGCTTCAGTACTGAACTTAATACATGAGTTAGGCAGTTATCAATTTTGTAGTTACATATACCTTAATGCTGTATTCAAACATCAATATGATTATAGTTGCTTCAGTACTGAACTTAATACATGAGTTAGGCAATAATCAATATTGTCGTTACATATACTTCAATGCTGTATTCAAACATCAATATGATTATTGTTGCTTCAGTACTGAACTTGATACATGAGTCAGGCAATAATCAATATTGTAGTTACATATACCTCAATGCTGTATTCAAACATCAATATGATTAAAGTTGCTTCAGTACTGAACTTAATACATGAGTTAGGCAGTTATCAATTTTGTAGTTACATATACTTCAATGCTGTATTCAAACATCAATATGATTAAAGTTGCTTCAGTACTGAACTTAATACATGAGTTAGGCAGTTAACAATTTTGCTTCATCAGGGCTGTATTAAAACTTTATTCATTAGTTAANTGTAACCACGGAAAACACTCAAGGTAATCATTGTCCACTCTTAACAGTAAAGGAAAGTTCATTTCATCAGTATTTCTGTACCTTAGCTGGGATTGAAAAAGGTTCCTTCGTACTTATACAGTATAAAATAAGTTGTTTTTTGTGTTGGACTGAATACTTTAGTTAGGCAATAATCAATATTGTAGTTACATATACTTCAATGCTGTATTCAAACATCAATATGATTATAGTTGCTTCAGTACTGAACTTTATGCATGAGTTAGGCAGTTAACAATTTTGCTTCATCAGTGCTGTATTAAAACTTTATACATTAGTTAAGCAATAATCAATATTGTCGTTGCCCAAGTGCTGGATTTAAAGCGTTTTAACTAATTATTTTATATAGAAGAAATCAAAATTAATAAATAGTGTTTCTTTTTTTAAACTATTTGGGTGTCATGTCTATCACCTCTAATGTCATATCCATATTTGAAAACAGAAATTGTGTAAACTTCCTGTTTTCAAATATGGAGGTGACATGAGGGAGAGGGCCATTAAATCCCTAATTAATGGCTAAGCCCAAAAGCTTTGATGAGAGTGACTGGATTTTTTGTATAAGTAAGTGTTTTTCCAATATGATTTAAATTGTTTTACCTTCAGATTAATGAGTACATTTTGCATTTCAGTCAACAACCCATTTGCTGCAAAAACTACCAATCCTTTTGAAATTCAACAGCAGCAGCAACAACAGATGACGAGAATGACACTTAATCAGATACAGACAAATACATACAACACCGGATTCTCACAGCCAAGTTCTTCAAGCTTACTACCAAATCCCCTCGTTCCAATGAATAACGGCGCTATGCAATCACAGAACCCCTTCTTATGAAAATGTGATACAATAAGATTAATATATTGACGAACTTGTAATTATTATATATATATATATATGATTGAGCTGTCTGTATATCATAGTATCCCATACACACGATGGAGTACACTAACTTTATATAGTGATGCATCAGATGCTACCCTTTTATCTGTGAATAGGTAAAGGAACATGTTCTGTGCATATATTGTCATGCATTTTGTGATGAATGGGATTTTTTTTGCCCAGCCTGTTTTGAGACGGTCATATGCTATTTCTTGCTATATTGGAGTTAGCAGGTGACCTGATATAAAGGCCTCTGAGAAATGAGTAACACACTTATTTATTATGATTGAATGCACACATTACAAATGATGTTTTTGGAGACGTTTAATAAAGGCAATGATTTACAGCAGAAAACATTCTTTTGGAACCTATTCTACATCAAGTCCAACATAATTCTCAGTCTGATTTGTTAAATTTAGTATTTCAACATTATTGTTGCTTCGGCAAGGATTCTTTCATTTGTGATATTTAGATTTAGGTTGTAGAGTTGATGAATGAAAACTTTTGTTTAAGTGCTGTTCAAGAACATGAGAATCACAATATGTGTAAGTTTTGTTGTCAGAATTACAAGATGTTTGTTTTTATTTATTTGTTACTTATTGTGTGTTTGTCTTAGCTAAAAATTTTGTATGTCTTGTGCTTGAGAATTCACAGTATCATTTTGATGTAAAATATTTTTTGAATATGTATAATACAGGTGTTAAAAAGGACATTATAATTACAAAAGATATAATAATGTTTGAGAAGAAGCTGCATTTGAAGACAGTTGTATGTTTCTAGTCCATACATCAACACAGATGATATCTTGATTTAATTTGGGTTGAACAACAAAGCTGTGGTATATTTTGTTTACTTACTTGAGAGCCAGTCATGTATTGCAGTACCCGTAATCTGTTTTAAGCTGCAAAAAGAAACTTGAATTAAATTAACAGGAGTTGAATGAGGGTATATATTAAAAAAAAAAAAAAAAACTTTTTGAATTGTAAATTTCAATGTCAGTATATTACTTGTATGTGATATACATATATATAATATCAGCATGTCAAGTCCTTTGTCATATGATACTACATGTATTTCAATTAACTACATAACACCCAACAATAGTGAAACACTTTTACAGGGAATTCAAATTTGTACGTGATTTACAAATTCACTCTATTACATTTTATATCAGAAGAGGTCTAATTTTGATTATTTTGGTCTACTCTGTACCAGCTGGTGAAGCAACTCCTCCCTACTAAGTATGGTACTGCGTACTTTGTATTTATCTTAAAACTCCTCAATGAACAAAACAGGCTGGGCCAAATAAAACGAATGAAGACTGGCTTCAGAATTTTTTCACGTTGCTATTCAATCCATAATTTAGGTGTAGTATAACCGGAAGTGTAAACTGCTTTTCATTGTTACAAAATGTTGGTTGTATTTTCTTCCTTGAACTCTGTATATAAATATAATGTTCATGGGTATATTTGTAACTTACTGTGTAATTTCATTTATTTTACTCATATAAATGTACAATAACTGGTTAGCCTAAAAGTATCAACTTGTGTGTTGCATTGGAATATAAATGTGATTGTCCTTTTGTTTACTATTAGATTGGAGAATGAAATAGTTTGAATGATCATTGTTTGGCCACTTCAAGTTAACCCTTCACCACTGTGGACCATAATGGACTTATCCTGATCAATGCATGGTAGAGACTACTAAAGTTACATAGGGGTGAAAGGGTTAACAAATCTATAAAGACCGGCTTGCCCTGCCGATCACATGTTGAAAGTGATATTCTTGAGAGTTATCAGGATTGAGAAATACATCTTAATCCCTGGGTATGATTGATTCTCATGCGCTACACGGCTTGAATCTGAACTGTATGTGTCTTCACTGTCGGTTCTTAATTTGACAGCTGCAGCTTGAGTGAAATATTGAATTCTGGTTGTGTTTGAAAGATCACAACAGTTGTTTGCTATAAATGGATGTGATGGATTCTCAGCTTCAGTAAGTTCAACTGTATACTGCTAGGAACAATGATAAATGATATGGTATCAAACTGTGTTTTTGTATACTGTAACCATTGGATATGTGTAATGTAATACTAGTTGCTGACTGTGATTTCTAGTTTTTTATGTCCCTTGGACGCTTATTATATCAATAAACAGGGTTTCAAAAAAAATTAAAACGCCAGATAATGTGAATTGATAGGATTAAAAAAAAATCTGTAAATAAATTGATGCAATATATGTTTCATATAGATTGATATCAAAAACATTATTAACTGTATTGAAACATGAAACATGAATTTGGTCTAACGTATAGTAACATAGCTGTATGTAATTGTGCCAAATACTTTTTGATTTTGTAAAACTTGCATGGATATGACCAGCTAAACAGATCAATTGATTGGAAACTCAGTAATTGTATTACATCTTTAAACAGGTTTTGGCAAATTTTTGACAAAATTGATTTTCACAGTCTGAGACTATGATTTGTTGGTTTCTTTTTCTCACAAAGACATTTTGTAGACCGGAAAACAGGAAGGGACAAACGTTTTTCTTTATTTATGTATGGTGTTCTTTTCTACATAGGCTATTTTTTTTACCGTCAAATAAAACCGAATAATTCCTAAAGCTGGATAAGTTCCGTCCTTTCTAATGATAATGTTCATGACTGGTCCAGAGTTATCCCCACTTAATAGAAAAAAAATCCCGACTAGAAATGTGCCATTTGTTTCTTTCTTTTTAATACCAATTTATTCTATGCCCTATTCTGTAAAATGGATAGTTCGTGCTCAAGATATTTTGTTGCATTTCTTAAAGTCCCCAACAATTTGCTGTTAGAATAGCAGTAACATTTCTGTATTTATTGGACCCTTTCTTCTTCAATATAGAGAAGTAAAATTTTAAGATCGGAACAAAGGTTAAAAAAAGAAAAAGTTATTTTTTTTCAATTTTCAAAGTTTTAAGCAAATTTGGCACTATGCAGCTGCATTCTGTACCCGAAATGTCATTAGGTATCAAGTAGTACTGCATGGTAACATAATTTTATGATAGATCTGATGATTGTGACTTGCAGCATATGAGTCGCATACATACTTTTAAGATCTGATATTGTTCCTATTGTTACACATTTTGTTATTGTCTAATTACGTTATCACTTCAACCATAACACTTCATATCTTTTCTCAATTTTTTTGGGATTTGTTGGCCAAACATTATGCTGTAACCGACAAAATTAATTGTTATTTTGAATTTTGCTGGCTTACCCCATCACTGTAAATGATATTTATTTTATACCACCGGAATTATCTTCTGTCTTTGTGTGTTCATGTATTTTGGATAGATAGGACAATGTCCCCTTATATCAATACATGTACAAAGTAATACTGACTGGGGTAGATTTATTTCCAGTTGTGAATTACATGATGTAATGGTTTTGTTTTAGGTTGAGGAGTTACTTCTGTAGACTTTATTAACGCGGACACCAAATATTCCAAAAGCAAAATCATGAAAAATTATAAGTCTAGATAAATAAAACTGAAATGGCCACCATGAAACTGTTGATTGCTGAACCAGGAAATCAATATGGGTTCAGAACGTTTTTTTTTTTAACTTTACGAATATTTTCACTGAATGTTTAGGGATAAATACAAGTCATATTGGTACCACTTGGCCAATGTGTTACTTTCACAGGTGCACTTAGATAAAATACCACAAGCGAAATTTAAAGATCACCATTTTAAGGCATTTATTGCAAAAATAGTGAAAAAACTTCTTTTTTTCAATACAGTTAGTTTCCCCAACATGGTGTTGTGTGCCTGAGGAGAATGATAAATTAGCTAAAAAAAAATCACCTCACCATATAGGTGCCAAACTGTAGCTGGCAGAATCAGCTGTTCTGGATGAGTTTCATTGGAATGTTAGTACAGATCCCAGACAGAAGTACACCACATGATAGAATTCCATGTACACATGTACTAGATCACTTTGTGTTTAATCTGCTATTGTATATGTATTGTCTTTTATAAAATGATGAATTAGTCATGTTTTTTGACAACACTTTTGCAATAATAGGTCCATACATGACCACAAAACCTGTCTTAGCTGATCCCTCTCTATTCTGATTGGTTCCATTATGATAAAATGTGACTAATATCCACCTGTGTGGTTCGATACCCTGTGTACTTCCTAACCCTTTAGTCAGACAGGACAGGTGTTACAAACTTTACCTCCAATATAAGTTCTTTTGTGTTTTGTTTTTTTATATGTAAAACATGTCTGAATCATGTCATCGTAACTTGGTAAAAGTCAACTTGATTGTCCTTTGTAATCTTCCATCTGTATATATATTTCATACTAATAATGTATACTTGTTATTTAGTCCTTAACGACCATTACTACTATTATTATTATTAATTCATTTAGCATAAAATTTTGAAAAGAAGAAAATCTCAGTTTGCATAGAACCAACATGTATTTCCAGCTGTGGTTGGTGGGATATCTGAATGACAATGTATTGTGTTTGTGACTGGTAAATCTGTCCTTCATCCCTTTTAATCGGTCCTTGCCTATAAGTAGCTATTTCTATTATTACTCTAGAACGGTAATTATTTCCTTTATCATAAATGATGCTTCGTACAGAGCATGCCATCGTCCGTCTATTTGTTTTTTTCTAAAGAACCAATTCTGGGTAATAACTTTTTGTTCCAGCCAATAATTGGTTTTTACATTGAAAGTATTTTGAAAAAGAAATCTCTACTGAGTGTTGCTTTGAAGATAATGCCTTAGGTCTAGTGAGATATATTTTATAACTATGAAACTTGATTTGCAAACTTGCAATGTTATCAAATATGACTTGATGATTAGTCATTAAACATCTATGAAAACAGGTATATTGTTTGTTGTTGTTAAGTTGTGCTATCATGTGAGATGTAATGGTGTGCTCCACAAAAGTCTCCTATTCCGTCGTTTTTACATGCAGAGTTATCTTCTCTTGGGAGCAGGTATTGATTGTTACGTCACTTGTTTGTGAGAGTAAAGTCATCATTTTTTGAGAAAACGACGTAATTTTCTCGCACAAACCAATGATGTAACAAGCAATACCTGCTCCCAATAGAAGATAACTCTGCAATACGCAAAGACTGAATACTACTGTCTGTTCCAGTTATCTCTGATGTCACTTTAAGGGATTACTCCATCAGTGTGCAACAGAAGTAAACAAATATATTTTTTTGTTAGCTTAACTAGCACAACATGTTCTACCCGGTCTCCGGCACTCACACAAAGCAAGCACACATACACAACACACATGGAGGCACATCCTTAAATGACATTGGCTGTTAAAGGGATTTTAAACAAAACAAGACCAAAACAAACCTGTGGGTTAATGTTATGGTGCTTTGTCTGTCCTTTGTCTGTCATATTTTCTCTTTGTAGAATATATGAAAACCTAAAAGACCCAGATTCCTGCTTTTGGCCAGGAGATGCCTGGGACAGAGTGCTATAAAGTTTTCTCATACAAATGACCTTGGTTAAATATGGTAAAAACTTTCTCTAATATGTTTAATATTGTGTTAAGGTTTTAGGTCAACTTTGAGGGCTGGCAAATGATAACATAGTCTACTTAAGTCCCATATGGTTCAAAGTCCTGATTTATATTTGGCCAATAGATATATTGCATAGAGTGCTGTAAAATTTCCTATTGAATGACCTTTGCCTACTTTTCAAGGTCAACTAGGTGGAAAAAAATAACATTTGCTGAAGATGTGTATAGAGCAATGTTTTTTTGGTATGATGTGAAGACTGACAATACAAATCGTTTTCTAGCATGTTATGTACATGTTCTGGTCGAAAGTCAACTTTGAGCACAGACTAAGGTTATCATGAGTTTTACACTTAAAAAGCTTTGAAAATTTCTCCTTTTTGTTTCATGAAGCCTGTGAATGTGATATGTTACCAGCAAGTACTTTTGATAAAGTGCTGTTAGAAGTATCTTAGTACCTACTTTTAAGGTCGAATGGTTTAAATACAGTAAAAACTTCATAAAGATTATCGAAAGAATCACAAATTCATGTGGTCAAGAGTTACACAATTAAGATATGATTTGTAGACCAGTAGTGGGAACCTTTTTCTTTTCTTTGAGTGAAAACTTTGAAATGATTGAGTAACCATAAATTTGTTTGCTTGGCATGAAAAAAACCACCAAGTATGTTACCAGGATTAACTCCGGAATCATGCCGTGCCCCAGGGAAGTAGTTTTTGTCATCAAATGAAAATTACTAAGATCCTTACCCTTTATACATATATAATATATCGACCAGATTTGATATGGAGCTTCATTGGGAACAAAGAGACAAAGCCCAAAATGAAGAAATATTTGAAATGTTGCTTTTTAATGAAAATATTTTCCCAAAATTGCTTAAATATATAGGTTAGCCATACAGGCCTTCTTGACCTCTTGTTACTGTTGTCTGTTGCCCTCAGTAACTAGGTAAAACGGAAACGTATCTAATAAACAAAAGCCTGTATCGCTCACCTGGATAAAAAAAAAAACCATGGGAAATTATTCGTATTACAAAAACATCCCTCCAATGGTACAGAAGAAGGATTTTAAAGAATTAAACCTCGTATTCTCAATACGGACTGCACCCAGAGGGGCAACACTCTCCATTTATACAAAATTTAGTCCCCTTTGTCAAAGGATACTCCAGGCCAAATTTGGGTGAAAATCCATCCAATTATATAGTTTTTCAAATTCCCCTTTTGAGCCCGCCTCTCTGCACCCAAAGGGGCCACATCCATCGTTTATACAATAATAATACAATAATTTATACAAAAACTACCTTGAAATCCCTGGTATTTAGTAATCAGATAACGAAATGTTAGTGGCCTTTTTCGCTTGTTGAAAATAGTAGAATAGCGAAAGAAATTCAAGAAAAAGGAAAAATATATGTATCATTTCTGTTTCACAGTTGTTTGTGTTGGCCATAATACCTCCCACAGCTACACTTATTGATCACAACTGTGCTACGCTTTGCGAAAATTAAATCATTGAAAACAAGTGTATATATAAAACGAATGCTGAACAGTATCCTATAATTTATATGTCATATAATTCCGAAATGACCATCTGAGTAGCCGATAGTTTCACGCACGTGTACACACAACATACTGCCTGTTATACATTATTAACGGTCTGCATATGTAATGTAATTGAAGAGACGGGTATATGCAGTAAACAAATCGATTGTATTGATTGAATTGAAGATGTCTGCCTGGACAGATGTGGGTTATATTCGTTGATTTAATCCCGGAATAGATGCCCTATCTCGTATCAGTTGTACGGAAGGTCATGAATAAATTAAGTAAGTCACACATTCAAGCCTAACAGAAACTGTGGGTACTTTTATCCTGCCTTGGCACGGTCTTTCTTGATTTCTGTAGTTCGACCGGCATCCTGGCCTAATGAAGTATTTTATATCACCAATCCATCTTGTGACGTTGCATTGATTACTAGTTTTGAATTAAAATATAACCCGAGGGTTGGAACCGGTAAGATTTTTTTCAGGACAATCTTTGGCCTATTATCATATTTACTTGCATAGTAAATATATACGTCTTAATCATTATATTTCGCGATTATAATTAATAACAATCTTTTTGCATCAATAACCTATACTTTTTAAAAAAAATATCAGAAGAGATACATATGAATTTAAGTTCATTAAAACATGTTCATCAGATTTTCTATAGATCAGTTTTAGAAAGACGAAACAGGTGTGTGATGCAGTGTTAATTAATATTTTGGCATTTCGACCATATCTATTACCAAATTGTAAAGGTGTGTACCCCTGCAGGTGGGGGATCGGAGAAAGAATACACCTGCTGTTACCCACTGCATGTATCGTAGGAGGCGACTAATGTGGGAATCCCCTGTAGAATTTGGGATTTGCTTTGGTGTCCTCTATTTGGGGACAAAAAATCGACCAAAATAAATCTGCTAAATCCATCGCAATATTTAGTATCTTTATTTTTCTTTCTACTTCTAACTTCCCTTTATTTCCTACCGCCTTGCTTCGCAACACTTCACTTTTGGCCTTAATGTTGAGCGTTCGCCCGGGTGATGAAGGCAATGGGTTCTGTCCCCAGGCCGGGACATACCAAAGTCCTTAAAATGGTAGTTGCTATTCCCTGCTTAACGTTCAGCAATAAGACTAATAGCAACAACTGGTAGCATGTTATGCAGTATAATGTGACCGGGCGGAATGCTGTGCTGGGTGCCTTCGTGTTGGCAGTTCAGTGAGATAGCACTATAAAGTCGGCATCAGATCTGCGCTAGCACAAGGAGACAAGAACACCAACATACCCTGTCTCCTGCATACACACATGCAAGCACGCATACACTACAAACATGGAGGCGCGTCCTTAAATTACCTTAGCTGTTAGTAGGACGTTAAACAAAATTAAACCAAACCAAACCACCTGGTGTGTGTGTGTTTGTTACGTTCTTCTTTCAAGATACAAGGTGGTAGACTCTGCTGGTGGGTTACTAAGTCCCCGAGATTTGCCGTAACCTTGACGGCCACAGCTATCGCTTTTTGAGGAGTGGCACGGGTCATAATATACACACTTTACNACTTTTGGCCTTAATGTTGAGCGTTCGCCCGGGTGATGAAGGCAATAGGTTCTGTCCCCAAGCCGGGACATACCAAAGTCCTTAAAAAGATAGGAATTGCAACAAGTGGTTCACCCGTTGTCAGTATAATGTGACCCGGCGGAATGCTGTGCTGGGTGCCTTCGGTATGGCATTTTAGTGAGAGAGCACTATAAAGTCGGCATCAGATCTGCGCTATCACAAGGAGACAAGAACACCAACATACCCTGTCTCCTGCATACACACACGCAAGCACGCATACACTACAAACTTGGAGGCACGTCCTTAAAGTACCTTAGCTGTTAGTAGGACGTTAAACAAAATTAAACCAAACCACCTGGTGTGTGTGTGTGTTTGTTACGTTCATGTGTCAAGATACTAGGTGGTAGACTCTGCTGGTGGGTTACTTAGTCCCCGAGATTTGCCGTAACCTTGATGGCCACTCAGCTATCGCTTTTTGAGTAGTGGCACGGGTCATAATATACACACTTTACTAATGATTTAATTCGAAATTAATCGGCACTCCTCTAAATTTTGACATTCTTCTATTAAAGGGTTTAATCGTACGCACCTCTGTTTGTCTAGTAATCCGACAATTCGGATTTCCAACTTTTGGCCCTTAGCATCACCGAAAACTCCTAGAAGGACGAAACAGCTGTATGATGCAGTGAAATTCATATTTTGGCACTGTGCTATTTCCAAATTTTGATGCGAGTATCTAGATTTACACATAGTGATGAAAACTGTGAGTATCTGATGATAAACAATCGCTGAGGGAAACTGTGGTCTCAGAAATCCAACATATGCTGAGGGAAACTGGTATTAGAATATGCCGAGGGAAACTGTGATATCTGAAAATTGAAATACAATGTGAATACATTTGATGGAAACACACAGAATACCACGGGCTTTAGGTATTAATGGTGCTCACAAATTAATATGGGATCAAACGTAACCCAATGGACTGGGCTATAAATTATTATCAGACCTAGGCATCATATTGTACACAAAGAATACCAGGAAACCTGACGTATTGGAAAATCCATGAAACATTTAATCAGTCTTCCTTACTTCACGAAACATTTGATCATACTGCATATCAATTGATATTACAACTCTTAAAAAAAAAAAAATGTATTCAACAAAACAAAAGAATTTCCACTGTAATAACTTTAGAATGTAATTCTCCGTTTATTTAAGAATACACTGTATAAAGGATTAACAATGCTTTTCTGATCCAGAAGAAAGTTGCAAATAAAGTTTGTTAAGGGTGTAATAACGTCCTCGCAACAGTCAGTGCCATTTGAGGACAGTGCATGTGTTCGTTAATTATACCTTTTTTACAGCTTTCAGAACCGGAAGTAGCCAGAGAAGTATGATAATCAACTTGTAAATCGATTATATGCAAAGAGAAAAAGGTTATTTGAGGCAGTTAATTTTCTCACTAAGATGTCGAATGATATCCACCTTGCCATTGGTATAGCCGACCCACAAATTACCTTGACTGTCCACAGCCAGAGAGGTTGGCCGAGTACATTCGTTATACAGAGTACCAAGTAACCGACCTTCAGCATCCAACACCAGCACCGCCTTCCGGTTATACTCAGCAATGATTATATTGTTACTTGAGTCGAAACACGCATCTACAGGAATGAACCTGTTGTCGCAATTAGAACCGGAAGTTGTAGATACGGAAGTGGTCATTTCCCGAGGAGAAGCGGAAGAAGATATATCAGGAATATTAGCTGCCGTGTATGTGTTTGTTCCGTCAAATAGGAACCGAATATTAAGGTCTTTATCTACTACAGCAATAGAAGATGGACCCTGTCGATTTATGATGACAACGTCGTCATTATTTTCGTTGACTCTGACTTTCCAAGGATTGCCAACGGTAGCTCTGTCGCGCCCTTTGCCGTCCAGACAACCAAGTACATCCCCCGTCGAGTCAAGTAGTACTACTTTGGATGTGAGATAATGACAGACGACTATGTTACCGCTACTCAACTGACACAAACTGGTCAAATCCTCGTCCGTTTCGAACTTGACCACAGATTTGTCAACTGCCAACATCTGCCTAACGACGCTGTCTGTGCACGTGACAAGAATTCCATCGCTGCGGTCAACGGATATGTCCACCACAGCGCGTGGAAAACCAGACGTTTGTACCACCTTGCCGGACCTAGAAACCATTTTTATTGCCCGAAACACGTGTTTACCTTTCTGTCGTGCAATCCACGCGCACTCACCTGCTGACAGAGGACAAATTGAAATGACTTCATCTCCACCTTTTACCTTAAACGTGTGTAGTACGTCGAGTATATCGTGTGAGTCCGTATGAGCAGGTTGACTGGGAATGGGCGAACATCTGCCCTCCTCGCTATCAACATCTGTACTATTTTTATGCAAGCCTTCCCGCTCATAGCTGCCGTCTCGATTTTCAGTAGTAATGATTTGAGGCTCTACATGCACAACCTCCACTTTTTGTTTCATCGCTTCGGTGTCTTTCACATGTGTAATTACATTTACGTTTGAATATTCCTCGGAAGCACCATTGTCTGATTTCCCCCGAGTTTCAACAAATTCCTGAGTTGCTTCGATGCCTGTATCCTTCATCACTTGTATTGCAGGCACTGATTGGGATAATGCTTTTGATAAGCCGTTGTCTTTTGCTTTTCTGTCAACGTCTTCTGGCACGTCAGATCGACTTGTCTGTTTAAGGCTAGACACAGACTGTGGTTTATCATCAAAATAATTCTGTCCATGAGAAGTTGATACGACGATTGGTATTGGCGCTTCCTTCACTGGTTTATCTATTGTTTCAGATGACAGGGAATCTTCGTGATCCGACCTGATTTCCTTGTCTATCACAGAAGATTCGCTGCCTTGAACGTCATCTTTTGAATCTGCATCTCCAATCAATGAAGAGCGTTCCTCTTTGTCTTTCACATTACCCTCTTTAGCTAAAGAAACGATTTCCTCCGCGTCTTTCAACTTCAGAACACTACTCGATTTTGAAGAAGCAGCATCTTCATAACTACTGGCATATGAATATCTGGATTTTTCTGACGCCAACTCATCTTCTGTATCTTGCATAACTCTTCCATCTTCCTCCCTTTCAAGAACTTGGGAGGTGTCGGTCACATCTAGATCTTCCTCTACAAAATCATCCGCAATTGACTTCTCGGATCCTGCAACCGATTCATTGTCCTTTTCAGAAGAATGTTTTGCACTCGATTCGGGTTCGACGTCATCAGAAGAAGGCACAAGTTTAACGGTCGATGCGTCGTTTTGTTCCTCAAGTTTTGCAATTTCCAGACCAGATGCAGTTTCATCATGTGTTGAAATAACTTCACTTTGGATAGATGCTTTATCAGATGTATTGTCATCTTGTACTGCCCCTGATTGTGGTGATATGTCTTGGTCCTCCTTGTTGGAGGACGTCGCGTTTGCAATTATTTCATCTTTATTACCAGAGTCTGTTATTACTTCTTCGACTCCATCGTCAACTTCTTCTGAATCACCATGATCACTCTTTGCACTGGCTTCACTTTGAACGAAGCTTTTCTCTGAATTAATATCTCCATGAACTGAGACAGATTTCGGAGTTGTTCCATGTTCAGAATCAAGAAGTGAAGCTATGTCGGAGTTATCGCCCATATCCACGTCCGGTTGAGGCGCTTTGTCTGTTATACTATCGCTATCGGGAACAGGTATGTCTCTGCTGCACATTTTACCGAAGAAATCTTTCAGTTCAGTTGTTGCAGTTTGGACTGGTTCAAAGAAATCTTCACTGAGTTCAATACTTGGGAGATTCGTGTGGTTTAAAAGTTCGTCTAGGGACTTAATGATACCCTTCACTTCTTGAAGGTTATCAGAATTACAAACTTGTCCGCATCGAACAGATTCAGCTTTCAGTTTTAACAAGTATGTAGAATATTCTTTCTCTATCGTTCTGATATGCTTTGTTCTTGTGGCTTTCAGTTCGTGGTATTTTGCTTCGAATTCTGATACGAGTGCATCCATCTGTTGCTTAAGGTGACATCCTCTGTCTCTGATCTTGTCCACCTCCTGCTGAAGGATTGTTGGGTTCTCGTTCCTCATCAGCTGATCATGAAGGAAGCTGATTTTGTTCTGCACATCCTCCGTCTTTTCGTCTACCTCCGTCATAAAGACATCAGTTAAAGTTTTACGATTGTACTCCAACACTTCATCCATAGCGAATATCTCTCTAAATCTTCACTATAACACAAACCACTTTATATCAACTCCAAATACACACTCAATCCTTATAAAAGAGAATCTGCACCAACGTAGACACACGGTTTTCAAAAGACGAACAGATGTGGCCGCTTCCTCAGTCATTGAAGTACTGGCAATAATGTCACATTTACAGCCCTGCTGCTCATTTGATATTTACTTTTTATCTGCACGATACAAACATCGCGGAACACTGTACATATACGGCACGCGATCGATAGGTCAGCAGCAGTATCGGGGCGTGTATAACGTAACGATCGAGGTCGGCACTTGGAAGATCCGGAATTAATAATGCATCCCAGCCGACTTGTACGGCAATAACAGGTAGAGTGATAGTTGAATCGTCAAGGTGGGGTACGGTTGTGTATTGTTGTGTAATGCATTAACACAGCTGATAATCAAATGTTTTACTGCTATATGTATACCTGTACATAGGTGTCTGCTGACATACTGTCGGGGACTGTACTGACCTCCCAGTGGTATTAAGCGTCAGACCGACAGGTGGCAGGGATCGTCAAAGTTGATGAATGAAAATGATCAAACTAGACATATGTTCATGACTTTATTACAGATTACTATGTCTTACTCATTATTTACTGCATCGATAATAAGTGTACTAGACGAAGTGTTTGGGTTTTGAAGAAAGCGCACCCAAATCGTGACTATATTTGACCACGGGTTATTATACTGACTACGATCACCTTTACTTGGGTGAATATACGAAACTATGGGAAATACAATTTGACTACGGGTTATTACCTGACTACTGACTACGAGCTATTATACTTGACTACTGACTACGAGCTATTATATTTGACTACATGACTACTAGTTATTATACTCGACTACGTTACTACGAGTTATTATACTTGACTACGGGCTATTATACTTGACTATGTGACTACGAGCTATTATAATTGACTACGTGACTACGAGTTATTATACTCGACTACGTGACTACGAGTTATTATACTTGACTACGGGCTAATATATTTGACCACGTGACTACAAGTTATTATACTTCACTACGAACTATTATACTTGACTAGTGACTACGAGTTATTATACTTGACTACTTGACTACGAATTATTATATTTAACTACGTGACAACGAGTTATTATACTTGATTACGTGACTACGACTTAATATACTTGACTTCGAGTTATTATTTTTGACTACGAGTAATTATACTTGGCTACGTGGCTACGAGTTATTATAAATGACCACGTAACTACGAGTTATAATACTTGACTACGTGACTACGAGCTATTATACTTGACTACGTGGCTACGAGTTATTATACTTGACAATTTGAATACGAGTTATCATACTTGACTACGTGACAACGAGTTATAATACTTGACTACGTGGCTACGAGTTATTATACTTGGCAATTTGACTACGAGATATTATACTTGACTACGTGACTACGAGTTATTATAATTGACCACGTAACTACGAGTTATTATACTTGACTACGTGACTACGAGTTATAATACTTGACTACGTGGCTACGAGTTATTATACTTGACAATTTGACTACGAGATATTATACTTGACTTCGTGGTTACGAGTTATTATAATTGACCACGTAACTACGAGTTATTATACTAGACTACGTGACTACGAGCTATTATACTTGACTACGTGACTACGAGTTATAAGACTTGACTACGTGGCTACGAGTTATTATACTTGACAATTTGACTACGAGATATTATACTTGACTACGTGACTACGAGTTATTATACTTGACAATTTGACTACGAGTTATTATACTTGACTACGAGTTATTATACTTGACTACGAGTTATTATACTTGGCTTCGTGGTTACGAGTTATTATAATTGACCACGTAACTACGAGTTATTATACTAGACTACGTGACTACGAGCTATTATACTTGACTACGTGACTACGAGTTATAATACTTGACTACGTGGCTACGAGTTATTATACTTGACTACTTGACTACGAGTTATTATACTTGACTACGTGACTAAGAGTTATTATACCTGACTACGTGACTACGAGTGATTATACTTGACTACGAGCTATTATACTTGACTACGAGCTATTATACTTTACTACGTGACTACGAGTTATTATACTTGACTACGTGACTACGAGTTATTATACTTGACTACGGGTGTCTTGACTTGACTACTGGTGGATATACGTAAGAACGGGTGACTTTATTTGACTACGGATGTCTTTACTTGACAATGGGTAAACATATGAAACTACAGGTAAGTATCCTTGACAATGGGTGAACATATGAAACTACAGGTAAGTATATTTGACAATGGGTGAACATATGAAACTACAGGTATGTATACTTGACAATGGGTGAACATATGAAACTACAGGTAAGTATACTGGACAATGGGTGAACATATAAAACTACAGGTAAATATACTTGACAATGGGTGAACATATAAAACTACAGGTAAGTATACTTGACAATGGGTGAACACATGAAACTACAGGTAAGTATACTTGACATCGAGTGAACATATGAAACTACAGGTAAGTATACTTGACAATGGGTGAACATATAAAACTACAGGTAAATATAATTGACAATGGGTGAACATATGAAACTACAGGTAAGTATACTTGACAATGGGTGAATACATGAAACTACAGGTACGTATACTTGACATCGAGTGAACATATGAAACTACAGGTAAGTATACTGGACAATGGGTGAACATATGAAACTACAGGTTAGTATACTTGACATCCGGTGACCACTGTATAATACTTGACTACGAGTGACTTTACTTGACTATGAGTGACTTTACTTGACTATGAGTGACTAGACTATGAGTGACTTCACTTGACTATGAGTGACTTTACTTGACTATGAGTGACTTTACTTGACTATGAGTGACTATATGTGACTACGGATGAATTGCTGGAATGGAAGTTACAATACTGACTACCGGTGACATTGCTTGATTACGTGTAACTAGGACTATACTTGTCAAATGATTACTATAGTCATGACTGGTACTGTATGTGACTAAGGTTGACTATATAGATACAGTCCGTATACTTTACATGTGTAGATATACAATGTATGTATATATGAGCCTCCAATGATGGGGTTTTCCCAGGTTATATTATCCCACAGGGATATTGTGTTATTGTAACAATTTAACAGGTTTTGTCGTTAACTAACTCGCCTTCGGTTTTGCTCATCTAAATAGCCATTAACTATATAGAAAGTATAAGTTTACTATAAATTAATGACATTTACATGTTTTACTACAAGAATGAAAATTACTTCTGCTGAGCACAATATCTGTGATTGAAAACACAGGGATCTGAGCATTTGTTACAGCTATATTTGGACCTAAACTAAGGTAAGTAATTTTACATGTTTTAGGGGTTTAGATCGACTTTCGGTAAAAATGACACCTCAATATTATTATTTTTTACCGAAAGTCGATCTAAACCCTTAAATCATGTAAAAATACTCTTAACACCTTAGTTTAGGTCCAAATATAGCTGTAACAAGTTATCAGGTCCCTGTGATTAAAACTAGTCTTGTAAAGAAAAAAATGACAGACTCAGTGTAATATCATAAGCTTATTGGCCTTTCAGGAGGTCAAACAAGAGGTCGAAGGGGCATGTTTCGCCCTTGAAGAAAACCCTTATTTCCGCAATCGGGCCCGCCACTCCGCCCCAGGTTGAGAGGACACTCCCTTTCACTATAGACTTAATGACAATATAAACCGATTTCATGAAATGTGACTTAATATCAATTCATTTAACAATGGAAAGAACAAAGCTTTGGAGTTATACTCTGAATGATCCTCGTACTACTGGTAACAACCAACTGCATTTTTCAGGATCGACGATATAGCTTGGATGAATCATTTTCGAAATAATACCATACCTTGCGGGACTTTCATGAAATAGATATATAAATATGAAATAGATAAATTGTAATCAACAACAGTACGTGTTTTGAGTATGAAAATTCAGCGGGGCTAGAGCGGGATTGGAACTCAGGACCTTAGTATGTTCTACTATCGCCCTTACCGACTGAGCTTTCGAACACTGGACCTTAGTATGTTCAACTATCGCCCTTACCGACTGAGCTTTCGAACAATGGACCTTAGTATGTTCTACTATCGCCCTTACCGACTGAGCTTTGGATCTCTAGACCTTTGTATGTTCTACTATCGCCCTTACCGACTGAGCTTCCAGGTCAACGAGAATGTCATCGCCCAGCTTTGCTACAGCTTTTTCCTAAACGAAATTAAATGGAGGCTACTTTATATAAAAAAAACGCATTACAGCGAGACATGGATCCTTAAACATAGATTCCAAAAATAATCGTCAGGTTATATTTTCTGTTATAATAGCAGTATCCGGTGCGAATCTGTTCAAAGATTTATGTAAGATAAAACAACAAAAACCGAGTTCGGCTTTCCGTATTAATGTGTGTCATTTGTGTCGATTACAAGTCTTGTCTTTAACGTGTCAACTTAAAGTCTCCTTTTCCTCTGAACCCTTTCTGCCATACACGTTCTTATGATATTTTTAAAGATCAACAGTCGGTAAGAGAACACTAGGATAGGATGCTAAAGTAAAAGTAGCGTTAATATCAAGCGGACAGTGCTCATAAGAATACATTTACCGTCGTATGACATTGCCACTTTATAACCCTACCCCACATTTAGATCTCATTCATACAGGCTATGAATGCCTAGAAAAGATTGTTGACATCATCATTATTATGACGCCATTTTGATACTTATGTTGGATACTACTGACTCGCCTTAGACAGACTGCTGGCCCCGGAATATCTGTTCTATTCATTAAACAAGCATATATACGATCAATTACTTATTTGAGCTAAATGCTGAATAATAGTATTTGTAATTAGTGGGTTTTTTTAGGGAGAGGCGGAGGGGGAGGGGGGGGATTCAAAACCTGGTAAACCTAACTAGTTTGCTTTCAGTTGGCATTCATAGGCTCCCAATGCTCAAACATAACTAACTCGAAATCCAATACAGTTCCAAGATATTTTCACTTTATTTGAGATTTGAATAAAACAAATTCATTCAATTAAACTTCGGGACTTCGGATAGCCGGTACATGAAAAACCAGCTTTGGTAGGCGGAACTGTAATTACACGGCAAAGCTTGCGCCATTTGCTCATTAAAGTGGACTTCCGATATCGCACCTGTCACGTGGCTCACACACAACGTCTGCGCACTGTCATGGAATTCAAACATGAGAGCTCCCGTTTTAGAGGTCGGAGAGGTCGTCTGAAATTTCCACTTTCCCGGGATCACATTTTTAGTTTCATCACACTTTCTCCTTTTCAGGAAATGTGTGGAATCCGAAATAAATACACAATAATCATCAAACTTAAATTCGCCTTTCTCTGAAAACGTAAAAGAGTTTTCAGGTATTATTCTATATTTAAAACATGCATATGTTATCCCAATGTAATGATCATCTAGGACAGCAAGACAGGCTAAAGTTTTCCCGTTGGTTATCTCCCCATAGAAGGCGGCGTCGATAGGGGGAACCTTCTGTTCCGGAAGTACGTTTTTAAGGTACCAGTGGAATGGTTTACAGTGCAATGACTTAAGAAAGTTTTTCTGTGACATAATAGCATTGTTGTCTATTTGGGGGAAATTCTGCGTTCGTCCAGCAGTAACTCTATAGAAGGTATCTTTATATTCATCCAGCCATATTTCCGCTACCCTCATCAGATTTTTCAGTATGACTGTATCTCGATCGGCGCCACCAAAACTGTAACTCTGGACGCCTAATTTAAACAGATGTCCCACTTTGGAACATGGAACTGTCAACACTCTCCCAGCACACAACCAGTTTTTGAATGACAAATCAAAGTGTTCCCCTCCCCAAATGTCAAGTCCCTCGTCGAAGCCCCCGATCCGAAAGAAGTGGTCCCTTCGTACGGCGATGGCGTTACCCACCAGCACGGGGGTAACAAATGGTTCCGTTTTAGACTTCAATGCTTGTTCAACGAAGCCCGGTACTTCGAACCACGCATACCTGAAATGACAAATGAATGAAAATGAAATCTGAAGTGAAGAAATATTACTGTCTTAACATGTGTACACCATTTAGATTTATCCACGATTATATCTACTTATATTAGGGACTGACCTGGCCCCATATTCATTAAACCGAATTCATACTCAAGCATGGATTTTGTGCTCAAGACAACTGTTTTGTAACTTACTAAATTATTGTAACACAGAACAAAGTCCAGTAAAAACATTGAAAACAGTATTTGGTTTTTCGTCTATCCAATATTCTTCCAAAATCATCAACGAAATTGATCCCGGAGAGAAGAATTC